GGGGGGGGGGGGGGGGGGGGGGGGGGGGGGGGGGGGGGGGGACAGGTGGGCTGCTAGAAAAACAGATGTTCTATCACTGGAAGTGACTTTAAAGTGAATTAAAGTGGCTCTTATGAAGCTGTTATTGTCTAACGTTTAGTTTTCTAATGCAGCTTTGGTTTCTTAAAGGCACCTATAGGTACACGACAACTCTGCTCATTTACAGAAGTGTCTTCATTGTTGGTTAATTAACACTTGATTTTTCATTTTATTTTGTAACTGAACAAATAAAACATTTTATATATTAACAATAGATCATTTTCACAGCTGTGTTGTAAAAAAAATAAGACCCATGCATGTGGTAAGCTAACACAAGTAGTTTGGTTAGCTTGAAAAGTAATTAGCTCATTGGATTGTCAGAAGGATGGATGGATAAATAAACTGAATTGAATAGATGGATGGATGGATGGAAGGATGGATGGATAAAGTATAAACTTATTTGCTAACACTCCATAAAGGCAAACTATCTGAGCAACACACACATGTTTGTAAAATTTAAAGCTTGCACATAAAAAACAATTACCACACGTGGAACAAAGAAAGCTTTTGGGTCAAATTTTATAGGTAATTAGTAAAAGAAAAGCAAAATGCAAATAATAGATATGTATGAAGAAGTCATCATTAATATTTTAATTAAATATACATTCACTCAATTTTAACTGTGAAAATGCCCAGAGCAGAGATGCAAAGCTGAAAGTAATTCATTTGCTCATATCCAGGTTTTCTTTTAAAACTAAATGTTTGTATTCACAGATGCAACAAAAAAAAAAAAAAGACGTGCTTTTTAAATATTGAAAAATCTTCTCTCATAATGACAAAAAAAACCTCTTTAATCTACCTGACAGATGCAAACAGCTGGTTCCCACACACTAAAACTAAAAACTAGGGTGCAAACTGTAATCCCCTCGTATATTTAGGCTGCACGTTCCTGCAGAACGGTGGGAATCTGTCAGAGCTGTGAGTCCTGATCGGAGCGCCGGCCGGCTGTGCCGAGGACTTTCAGTCAGCAGGAAGTCACAGATGAACGACGACTTCCTGGTTCCCTCACTGCAGTCCTACAACATATGATCCACTGTGACTTAAAAGATGTTTATTTTAGATTCATGCAAACAATAAGACTGTTTAAACCCATGTTAGTACATGTCTGCACCCAGTAGGCGGTTATTAAACTACCATAGATTTAAAATATTAAATATGTCTGTTTTTACTGTCAAAATACAAATGTGGGGACACTTTATCTGCATTTAATGAAATGACTTGGAAAAGATGTTTAATTCAGCTGTAGATGAACTCTTTCACTGTTAACTGAATCACAAAAAGAACTAGAGAATGTGCACTTCCTGAGAAAATGCAGTGTGATTGCTTATTGCTGAAGAACCTGCTGAAGAACAGCTGAAATGAGCTAAAAACATGCAGAAATGTAGCTGAAAATGAAGAACAAGCCTAAGTTATCAGAAGAAAGCATAAGTGGAAATTATCTTAAAAATGCTGAAATTTCCCCAAAACAGCTGAAGAAGCTAAAGAAAAGTAGAAAAAAACTTACATTTTCAAAAGGAAGTGAAGTGAACTTAATTGTGCTCGCTAAGGCTGAAAGAGGCAGAAATTAACACAATAAAGTTGAAATTATCTGCAAAAAGTTGAAATTTCCCAAAACAGCTGAATAGTAGCTAAAGAAAGGTAGAAGCTTAAAATTTCAAAGGGAAGTGAAGTGAGCTTAATTGTGCCCATTAAGGCTGAAAGAGGCAGAAATTAGCACAATGAAGTTGAAATTATTTGCAAAATGCTGAAATTTTGCAAAAACAGCTGAATAGTGGCTAAAGAAATTTACAAAGAAGCTTAAATTCCCAAAAGGAAGTGAAGTGAGCTTAACTGTGCTCACTAAGGCTGAAAGAGGCAGAAATTAACACAATAAAGTTGAAATTATCTGCAAAAAGCTTAAATTTGTCAAAAACAGCTGAATAGTAGCTAAAACAAGCAGAAATAAGTTTAAATTACCAGATGGAAGTGGGTAGAGCATGATTTTGCTGAATTAGGCTGAAATAAGTTGAAATGATTGCAAAAAATGTTAAATTAGCTGAAAAAGTTGAAATTATCATAAAACAGCTAAATAGTAGCTGAAATAGCTGAATTTAGCAGTAATAAGCTGAAAGGGGCATACCAAGATGGAATTAGCAGAAACAAGTTAAAAGAAGCACAAAAATCTTGGACTTAGCTGAATAAAGTTGAAAGGCACACAAAACAGTTGAAAAACCCCAGCTGAAATTAGCTGAAAGTAGCTGAAATTTTAGTTAAATTTTGCACAAGGAAGCTGAAAGAAGCTTAACCGGAACAAAATGTGAAAGTAGTAGTAAACGTTTGTACACAGATCAAAAGTTATAAAGGATGTAATATAAGCTTAATTCATTTTCAAAGAGGGCAAAAATGGCAGAAAAGGCTAAATATCTCCAAAAGCTAAAGTTGCACCAATACCAAAATTAATCGCAGGATTGTCCTTCAACAGCCGAATGTTTTGATGTACGATGTGTTGAAATAGTATAAAAATTGCGGAAGGAGTTGGCTGCCGGATAACGTACGGAATAGTATAAGGAAACAAGAAAAAGTGGATCTCAATAGTGTGAATGCTCACACTATTCACACTTCCCTGTTTGTGTAAAATCATCAAAAACATCTAAGTTTGACGACAATCTTTACAATATTTCTTAATTACGCTGTTTTGTGGATACAGTGGGTTTGTGGAGATAAATGAAAGAGTTTTACCATCAATCTGAAACGTTTCTTGTTTAGTTTGATCCCGTGTTCAGTTGTTTAGACACGCAGCCCAACCAGAACCAGAACCGTACACGTGCATATCTGGATGCTGTCAGAGAACAAATTCAGTCAGCTGCTTAAGCAGAACCATCTGTGAACTCATCTGAACGTGGGAGAAAGTCAGTTTGGGTTTTTGTGCCAGCATTTAAAAAAATCTTAATTATTGGGAATTTTATTGTGTCCGCTTTGTCCTTTGCCCTGCAGGTGTGGAGAACGTGACCATCCAGCTGGACCTGGAGGCCGAGTTTCATTTCACACACCTCATCATGACCTTTAAGGTGCTCGTTTTCTCTCTCACACACACACACACACACACACACACACACACACACACACACACACACACACACACACACACACACACACACACGTAGGCATAAATATTCATGTCAAGCAGATACAACCTTCACAACAAGCTGCAGAAAGTCTAGTCTCCTGAGGGCAACAGAAGGAGGACGAGTGCAGGCGGTCAGCTCGAGTCACGACTACACTGAAGTCAAAACACGCTCAAGGACACACTTCCTGTTTCCATCTTGTTGTTGGCTGAGTGACAGGAAGGATCAGCATCCAGCTGCTTTACCGCTGCGCCAGTAGTTTCAACTAGTTCTTTAAATATTTAGAAAATGTATAAAGTTATTGGCATAACATAAATGGAAAATGTGTGCACAGAAAGATAAAACTTATTTAAGTAATTAAACTCTGCTCTGTGGTTAGTTTACTTATGGTTACTTCTCTGGTCCAAGTCTTTGTTTTTTTTGCTGATGCCGATAAGATTTCCTAAAAGCTCCCATTAAATGGACTTTTTGTTCGACATTTGGTTTCATCCCAACTATAAAAACTCCCTGAAGGATGTAAGTGAAGCTGAATAGTCAAAACTGAGTAACTTCATCTATTTTAATGACTGATCCAGCTTTTAAACAGCTTCTTTGGCTTTACTGTACCTCCAAGCCGAATGTTTGCATCTTGTTTGAGGTCGCTGAGCTTGTTCTTAAACTCTTTTTAACGTTTTTCCTCTTGCTGAGGTGACGCTTAGAGTAAGTTTTTAGTGAAGAACCTTGATCTTTACCTTATCAGGAGGATTTTTAGATATTAATTGATTTACTGTGGCAACGTCTTTTTTAATCTCCAATTTTCCTAACAATGTTAAAAGCTAATTATAGTCAAAGTTGTCAAATGTCCAGGGATGCTTCAATTCAGACCACACTATTGGTTGGTTTTCTAACTATCTCTCAGATCGGAGGCAATGTGTTCAACATAATGGTACTTCTTCCAGCTATTTAACCGTTAACAATGGTGTACCGCAAGTCTCAGTCTTAGGACCCACCCTCTTTACAATCTACTGTACATAAGTAATGTAGGTCAGATCATCCCTGATGCATCCTTACATTTTTATGCCGATGACACGGTTGTTTATTGTCGAGCTAAATCAGTTGCAAAGGTGTTCCAGCTTTTAAAGTCTGCATTCGACATCATCCAGTCAGATTTGTTCCGTCTCAAACTGGTGCTAAATGCTGATAAAACCAAAGGGATGTTGTTTTCAAACAGGAAGTTTGTACCAGCAGTCCTTCCTCCTATCTTATCTACAAATAGTGTTCCTATTGAGTTTGTCGATTCTTAGAAAATACTTTTTAATTTTTAACCTTTATTTTACCAGGAAGAAATCCATTGAGATCATCAACCTCTTTTACAAGGATGTCCTTGAATGACAAATCTAGAAAATACTTGGGAATCTTGGTCAATGCGCATCTCTCTTTTAAGCCTCATGTTGAAAACTTGATAAAGAAATTAAAATTAAATGTGGGTTTCTTTTTCAGAAACAGATCTCGTTTAACTCTGAATGCTAGGAAACGCCTTGTAACTACTACTTTCCTTCTGGCCATTGACTGTGGTGACATTATTTACATGAACGCTCCTACAAGAACCCTGCAGATGTTGGACGCTGTCTATCGCGGTGCACCAAGATTCATAACTGGTTGTAACTACCGTACCCACCACTGCACCCTGTATTCACTGGTTAACTGGTCATCATTAACTTCACACAGACTCTCTCACTGGTACATTTTCATCTTTAAATCTCTCCTTGGTCTGTTGTCTTCATACATCTCCACCTACATGTCACGTCAGTGCAGCTACAGCGTGCGCTCTCAAGACATAATTACCTGAAGTGTCCCATTAGTGCGGACTGAATTCGGTAAAAGGGCCTTCTCTTACTCCGCTCCTGTATCCTGGAATATCTTATAAAAAGATCTGAAGCTGTCAACTTTGACCTCTCTAAGGGATTTTACACAGTTGTTAAGTTCAATGCAAACATCAATGCAGAGTAGACACGTTCCTGTTTTTAGGATTTTACCCCGTTTCAGCTTGTTTTTATTTCATTTTATATCACTACTTTTATTTACTTTTAATTTTTTTATGACTGTCTATTGTCCGTACGTCGTCTGTGTTCTTTTGTCTAAAACAGTCCTCGTGACTCAATGAGACTAACCTGTATAAATAAAGGTTGAATGAATGAATTTCTCCATGATGCTTCTTTCCCTTTTCCCCCAAAAAAGTAAGAGATTTGAAAAAAACTTGAGCTTTGCTACAGATAAAAAGTTCCTAAACAAAATATATTCTTACTTATTTTAGTCAGGCCTGATATTTTATGCCTTCACAGACGTTTCGCCCGGCGGCCATGATGATCGAGCGTTCAATGGATTATGGGAAAACGTGGCAGGTTTACCGTTACTTTGCCTACGACTGCCGGTCGGTGTTCCCCAGCATCTCCACGGGCCCCATGGCGAGAGTAGACGAGATCATCTGTGACTCCCGCTACTCCGACATCGAGCCGTCCACAGAGGGAGAGGTGAGCCTGCTTTCATCCCATCATTTATTTTAGAAAAAGATTGTTTTACCAAGTCTGTGATTTTGAACATTTTGTTGTTGTAGGTGATATTTCGAGTGCTGGACCCTGCCTTTGAGATCGAAGACCCCTACAGTTTGAGAATACAAAGTAAGCTGCATCTGCCATTAAAAACAAACAAACAAACAAAAAAACATCTGAGGTACTTTTCAAAAACTTCTATTGTTGTGCTGTTTGTACATTTTAACTCTAGTGACAATCTTATTTTTTGTTTTACTTGTCTTTCTTATGGAAATATTAGTTTTTAATTGGCCCGTTAAGTGGAGACACCGTTTCTGATTGATGGTTTACTGGTCATAAAACTGTAAACGACTGGGAAGAATAGGAAACGGCAAGGACAGGAACACAATAAATGCTTTGCCAACCAATTGGTCTAAACATTCAGGCTGTTAAAAGGGATTTTCTCATTTCTAACTTTATTAAAAAGTCCAAAGTAAATATATAAAGAACCTCAAAGTTCATGCTCAATAATCCAGGTGAAAAAAAAATCCAGCAAAGTTCAGTCAGGTTATCTGGACTGTTTCTTTTTTTGTGTTGAGACGTTCTATCCTTCATCCAAAGGACTTCATCAGTCCGAGGAGCCACAACAAACTGAGTCCTACTTTGGCTATGGCTGCCTCAGAGGAGTGGACGGGGGAGAGAGAGCGGGCTTCAGAAACCATCTTATCACCAGCAAACTGGTTGGTCCACTATGGGATAGTGCTGCTTGTGGAACTGAGCTCCTCGGACTGATGAAGTCCTTTGAATGAAGGACGAAACGTCTCAACAACAACAACAAAAAATGTCCAAATGACCTGACTGAACTTTATTGGACACATAAAGAACCATTTCTGTACTAAACTTGACACTTTAATGAAAATTGTGACTTGGGGTTCAAGAAGGAAGTCATAATTTATTTGTGTTGAATAGTTGAACACCCACACATCATCATACTGTTTACAAATTAGATATGAACTGTTATAAATAAGGAGTCAAAACTTAAATAGGCATATTTTATATCTTTTCTTTTTCTCCACTAAAGTTGAAAATTTTATTGAACTTATGAGAAATATGTGTACAATGTAGGAAATGTGGTTTAGCTAGGTAGTGTTTTTATTGTTGTTTACAACCACAATAAAGTTAAAGTAGAGGCTTTATTTAATGTTTAATGACTTGTCGGGCCACAGATGTGCATTGTAAGGCATTTTCTTGTAGTAAAATATATATTAAAGGTTGGTTTATATTAATAACAGATGCAAGTAAACTCCTCATAAGCTGCAAGTTTACCTAAAACGGTGAACATGATTTTATAATCAAAGTAGATATTCCTCGACACTGATCAACTGGAAGTGTTTGAAATGAAATTTACACAATATCTAATGTTTAATTTAGTCTGAGCGTTACTCTGGACTCCCTGCTGGGATGCTGAAGACAAATCCTGCCTCAAAGCAGTTTCCTGTAACCGTCAGACATTTGTTTAGCTTTCCACAGCAGAGTTGCTGGGTCAAAGGTCAGCCTGGAAGAATTTCACACACGGAAGCAACTCCGGCTTCATAAACTCCTCTTACATCCAGGCTGAGATGCGTCGTCTTCCTCAGACGCAGAGACTTTGTGTTAAATTAGTGATGAGAGTTGTGGGTGCGTGAAGAACTACAGCAGAGTCCACAAAGTCCCAAACTCTCAGAAAATAACGCTTCCAGTAAATAATTCACTGCTACCTTGCGTCCAGACTAAAAACTTGAAAACAGGGCGCTGAAGTGGACGTTCCTGTTATTTTAACACAAATGTTTTTATGTGTGGAGACATGCTGAAGATCACTAACCTCCGAGTGAAGTTCATCAAGCTCCACACGCTGGGCGACAACCTGCTCGACTCGCGGGACGAGGTGACGGAGAAGTACTACTACGCCCTCTACGACATGGTTGTCCGTGGGAACTGCTTCTGCTACGGCCACGCCTCCGAGTGCGCGCCCATCGACGGGCAACCGTCCACAGCTGAAGGCATGGTACGGAAAAAAAACGCTTTATTTATTTATCTAAGTAAAATTATACTTTAAGTGTGGCTTTATTCTCATTATAATTTTAAATTTGGTAACTGTCTTGATTAAGTTTGAGCCTTCATTAAATTTATTACAGATTTATTGGGAAAACAGCATCATTCAGAAGCTGTTCTGAAGGTTTTAATTACATTACATCACCGTTTATGACAACAATGTGAACATTATATTTTGTCATCAACAAAACTCCAATAATGACAAGTTAAGCAGGATGTTTCTACTGGGCTGCATATCAAGTAAACAGAAGCCTACCTTTAGGAAAATGTATTTAATATTACAAAAGGCTAAAGTATTAGAACCAGTTTGGTAGTATATAAGTCAGGATGTGTTTGTGTGCAGGTTCATGGCCGCTGTGTGTGCAACCACAACACTCAGGGACTGAACTGTGAGCGCTGTCAGGACTTTTATCACGATTTGCCCTGGAGACCTGCAGAGGGACGAAACAGCCACGCTTGCAAGAGTAAGAACAGGAATCAGTCCGTGTTTGGTTCTGATTTATAATCTATGATGGAGCACATCTACTAAAACATTATTATACTGTAACAGAATGCCATATGTTATATTATTCTGACATTTTTTTTACAGAGTGTGAGTGCAATCATCACTCCACATCGTGCCACTTTGACCACGCCGTGTACGTTTTGACCGGCGAGGTGAGCGGAGGCGTGTGCGACGACTGTCAGCACAACACCGTGGGCCGACAGTGCGAGCAGTGCGCACGTTTCTTCTACCAGCACCCCCACAGGAACCTGAGAGACTCCAACATCTGCGAACGTACGTCTTTCACCATACAACCTATTTCTGCTCATTACAAGAAGCGTTTGTTATAATTTATGTGGTTTTTTTCCCTCCAGCACGTTTCTTTTCTATAAACTCAGTACTACAATCATGCTGTAACAGCCACTTTAATTTCCTTAAACACAGGTGGTGAAAACGACTCGAGATTTAGTCAAAGTCACTGTTTCAGCATGATTATAGTACTGGGTAAAAACAGCAATACTGCAATCAAATGAAATATTTTATTTTGTTGCGCAAATTGACCATCCTTCTTATTCATTTATACGAGAGAAATTACCTACTTGGAACTATGCAAAGACTTCAGACATCTATGTTCATAGCAGATGGTTGTTCTCTGAGAACTCCTGGGGCTTCAGCTATTTAAAGCCAATAAACTGCTCCAAAATAACATTTCCTGCAAGAGAGAAATAAAATACAAACTTTAAAAGAAACTCTAGAGGATGAAGACTTGAAGGTGGAAAATAAAAATCACTGTGGGCTAACTTTTAGCTTGTAAAATAAGTGGCAAAAAAATAATATGAAGCTTAATGTGAGGGATCAGAAGGAGCAACCTATGATAAGAACAAGAAAAATATTTAAGAAAACAACAACAGGTCATGAAAACATAATAATAATGACTTGAAGGCGAGGAAGAGTGACACTCAAAATACTGGAACCAGATGTGACAATCAAATACTAGCACCAAATGTGATAATAAGAAACTTTGACAAATTTTAGAAATCAACAATCATAAATTAAGACCAGGTTTGACGCTTAGAAACCAGGAACAGGTCTGAAGGTGAAGTAGTAGACAGATATGTCAATTAGAAACTAGGATCTAGTGTAACAATCAGATTCTACAACCAGGTGGGTCAGTCAGACACTTGAATTAGGTGTAGCAGTCAGAAACTAGGACAGGGTTTGGCATTCAGAAATTAAAACCAGGTAGGACAATCAGAGCTAGGACCACGTGAAATAATAAGAAACTTAAATGGAATGCAGCTATCAAAAAATAGGACCAGATGTGATCATTAGAAACCAGAAGAAGGTGCAGAAATCTAAAAGGAGGTACGAGAAACAGAAACTTGAAGCAGGTGTGGTAATCAATAACTAGGACCAAGTGTGTCAATCAGAAACTTGAAGCACGTGTGGTAATCAATAACTAGGACCAGGTGTGTCAATCAGAAACTTGA